GTAAGTTAGTGAATTTAAACATGTCTTCCATGAAGAATGAAGATCTTCCCAGAGTTGGATGTTTTGCTATATCTACAAAGGTACATACATAATACATTGATTATATTATTTGTCTCTGTTTTGTTGTACTCAAATTTGATTTATAAGTTTTGTTATTGTTATAGGGATGGGATTGTGTGTTAAAGGCAGCTTCAAAACGCTTCAAGAAATCAAGAAAGAAGAGAGATTCAGTCGCTGATGATGTCAAGCTTCTCAACTTCTTCAAATCCTAAAAGATTAAAATTTAATTGTTTTCAATATTATTTGGGATTGAGTAGAGAGCTATTAATATGTATGGGGTCTCTATGTATTCATTTGTAGTGTTTGATGATGATTATATAACAATGACTATTTTACTTTTTGGTTGTGTTTTGAGTCTTTTAAAAGCAATTGGAGAGGTTGAGAAGGAGAATCAAGATTATAAATGCCCATAATTGTGGAAATCTATTAACTTTGGGGGTTTTGTATATGGTAATTTCATCAATGATACATAAAAGCCCAAACACACTCATTTCTTTACTATTTCAACCACTTTGTTGCTCACATTTAAGCAATCTTCATCATCATTATGCTTTTCCTCTCCTCCAAACTCGTTGTCACTGGAAATCGGTTCATTGTCATTATCGTCATCATCGCCATTTGTCAGTCCATTTTGAAGCATGCGTCGATTCTCTTCTGATTCCTGTCTCAATAGCCGTTGCTGAATCCCGTCCCTGATGGCTGTTCCCTGAGGAAAAACTCAACCAGATATATATTAGCGATGGATACGCACATCAGCACATGCTTGAAATTTCAAATCTTGAGCCTGCTTACCATTTTATGACAACCTTCCTCAAACATTTCAAGAAAGCCAGCAACCCAACGATCGGCGTTTTCAACCCACTCGTTATGGTGCATTCCAGCAGTTTTTGCTACAGTTTGTATCTGCAAAATAAAGATTCAGGATTCAGAAGTTATACATTGTTCACCGTTATTATAACCGCTAGACATAAGACCCAAGATGGAAGGATTCGTTCTGTGTATCCACTATCGCAAGCCCCGGAAACAAGAAATAAAAGAGCAAAAGGATGTAAATGAAGCATCATCATTAACCCATAAGAATAGATTCCTCGAGTTGTCTCACCTTTTCTTGCTGTTCTTTCACTTTCTCTTGTAGTTTTTTCAATCTCATGTTCACTCTAAGCCTCTTCTCCTGTTTGTTTTTTAATCAAGCCCATAACATGTTAGTGTATCAACAAGGAGATAACGGTTATTGAGGAAACAAAGAAAAGAGAAAATGGAGACCGTGCCTTAACAAAGCTGACACCAAGTTCTTCTCTAGAATATCCTCGATCCAAATTACGCAACACATACTGGTTGTAATCTTTCACTATTCTCATGATTATGTCTGATGTCGATATCCCCTCTGTTCGTTTAGTTTCTTTAAATTTCCCAATCGACTTTACCTGCAGAAATCAAGTCCGAAACAGCTAAGAAACATCGCGAATCAGAAGAGAAACATCTCCATGATTAATACTTACAAACTCATAGACATCATTACCAGCTCCACTAGCATCTGCATAACTACGAAAAACACCAAAATGGACAACACACAAAATCATTTTAACCTGTTCAAATTCTTGATACTCTAATGGAATAAACAACGAAAAAAACGATTTTTCTTACGGAAGAGCATCATGAGCTACATAGTCGATCTTATGCTTATCAAGAAACTCTTTAGTAAGAACCCATGGTGCATCTGGAATAACTTCATCGACCCACCTATTCAACAACATGAAACAAGACTCAGAATTTCAAACAAGCTCCAGAATCTCTAATGATGGTTCCACAGAATTTCAACATTACTTGCAATGTCGGAGAGATTCATAACGCTCAGATTCAGTCATCACAGTCTTGCCTTTGAATTTATTCGTAATTTCGTCGTTGCAACATCCAACGAGCAGATAGGTGTTCGGAAACCTAATTTCGTTCCGATTCAATTAGCAATTGAATCATAAAATCAACAAAACCGGCGCCGGAAAACGCAAAAACTAACCCTAATTTCTTAATTCCGGCGAACAAAACAAAAACGGAGGAAGAGAGAGATTGAATGGTACTGACGATTTCTTGGCTTGTTCGATGGCGCGAGCGTGACCGAAATGAAAGAGATCGTAGATCCCATCGGCGTAGACTCTAACCGGACGATCTGAATCGGAATTTGTTCTCTCGCCGGAGACTTTGTCGCCGTTTACGCTCATTTTCTTCTTCTCCTTTGACAATTTTTGGTCGGAGTTTTTTTTTTTTTTTTGATTGGTTTCTTCTTAAATGTGATGTTTTTGTTTCCTAATTTCTATTGGCTTTCCCTCCAATCACGCATTGGCTTCTATTTTACGACGTTTCAATTTTTTTGCATTTGTTCAAATTTGAACCTTAATAAATTATTTATCTTCTTCCATTCACACACAAAACCAAATGTGATAAGAATTTTGATTTTGTTTTTGAAAAAAGATTTAGATGTTTTGGACTGAACATATTAAAAATGTAATGTTCAATTTGTTTCACAAAAACTAAGTTAATACAACTAACCCATAACATATACGAACCTGATTAATTCTAAATATTAGTTAGACCGATCGAAAATGGTGTTTAGTTTGGTCGAGTTCTGATTTCGATTTTATAAACGCAC